ATTAAGTTTATAGAGTCTTGTAAAATCCTACTTAACAAAATTATAAGGGGGTGAGGTGGATAATGAAAAGAAATAAATATGAGCATTAATTTAAACTTTAACAGTTTTGAAGACCATGTCATTCAAAATAAACTTATGTGATACTCACATTTATTGATTGATTTTTTCCTTCATTCATGTATTCATTAAACATTAATTGAGTGTTTATTAAATGGCAGGAGCTGTGCTAAGACTGGAACTAAAAAATCAAATAAGACATGGCCTCTGCCTTCAAATAGCATTAGTTGGGTGAAATATAGAAAAGTGAAATCTACGATTAACGGTGGTAGGTAGGGAGTTATGGTAGAGGTAGTACATATGTATGAGGGGGAATACGGGAATACAGAGTCGAAGGGAACTGGGGAGTGGATTGTTTGGTTTGTTTGTGTGTGTAAAATAAGGAAACCTACTACTGTTACCTGGTATTAAGTTTTCCTGAAAAGTTTCAGAGGTATTCTACTCTTGTTTAATTTTGGTAAATCATTAATATGGAAATAGCATATTTTGAAAATGGAAAATTAATATTCAATTTTTGTAGATGAATTGAGAATTCTGTTATGAATTAAAACAAAAGACACAACACAACCACAACCTGCAGCTTTTTTAGTTTGTGTTTTAACATGATATAATTTTTCAAACGGGGTAGTCTTAATCTTCTTGAAGCCAAATTAATAACCTTCTGGAAGATTAAAAATGCATGACTATTAACACATAGTAAGATTGCTAAAGCGTTTTTATCCTTATTAACAAATAAATGTATCAGTGGAAGTCAGAGAAATAGTAGCTTCCCTGGAGCAAAACATTTCTAACAATTAGGTATCTTTTGTGAGAAACCCAGAAAAGGTATGACTGATTGCTTTCTTGGATTAAACTGAAGATACTAAACGAAAAACAAACTAGGTACAAATGTTCACTATATTGAGATTAATGTTATTCTCATGGGTATCATTTCCTTAGCTGCTTGGACAAAGAACAATTTGTTTCCAGAGACGTGAATATGTGTCAAAATAACTAAGCCAATCAGCACAGTTCAATAAGTTTTTCCCATATATGTATTTTGAAACTGGATAAATGTCTCTAATAAACAAAATGTCTAGCATTTATATTAATAATGACTTTCTATATAAGCAATATAAAATGTATTCATTCATTCAACCCAGACATGTCACTGTGCTAGATTCTAGGGGATTCAAAAATAAATAAAACAAGGTTCTTGCCTGGAGCTCCACTCCAGTGGGAAAGAGACAAGTAAGCAATAATTACAATACAAGACAATGGGTCTCTAATAGAGACATGAACAAAATGCTATGGGAACATGAATTTTTCCTACTAATCAGTCTAAGGAAAGATACCATAGTATAGTTCGCTATCACAAAAAAAATCAAAATCATAACAAATAACATATGAGAATGGTTGATTTTCAGGTCAATAATAACGACCATTTACATGTCATGGCTGTTGATATTTTACAAAACACTTAGGTATTGTAAGGTAGATAGGCCAACTTTATTTAACTATCACTTAACATCTTTATCCATGATCTTTGTAAGCAACTTAAGAACAGGAATCATGTCTTTCATCTTTGTATTCCATCTTTCATCTAGCACAGTACCTGTTACACACTAACAGTTTTAACATACATAGAATGAATGCACACGTGCACATATAAATGAATATTGATGATTACATAAATAGCACACTTCTGAGTACACAGATAACAGAATTAAGTGAGACAGACTATACTTGAAAAGAATATTTGATATCCGATATATCAGAGAGGTTCACTAACAAAGGGAAATGAAGTTTAATGGGGATCAGTACTGAGAGTACTTATTTATTCCAGACATAAGCAACTCATTTTTTTTATATTCTCTTTAGGTATATAATCACGACTACATAGTAGACATTTCGCAACTACTTATTGAATGAACAGTTCTACTTCCACAATGTATTTCTTGGATCCAACTCCTCTATATTGGACTGAACTATAGCAGCTTTCTGTGTACCTCCACTCGCTTCCTCTTCCAAAGTAAGTTTAGTAGCCATATTAGTCCCCCTAAAGTAATTTGATTGTGTAACTTTCATTTTCAAATTTCCTAAGTAGCTCTTTAGTATTCAAGATGCTTCATTTAAAAAAATAATTAAAAAAAAAAAAGCATACTAAGTGCATAATACAAAAGCCTGGTGCTGGCACACAGCAGACACTAAATGGCTAAAAATTAACGAGCTAGGTTGTCCTGGGAAAATTACTCATATGTTTTAAAATGAAAATGGATCCCTACACAAAAACCAATTTGTTACGTATTAAAAGACATAAATTGGAAAGAAAATATAGGATAATTTTAAAACAATCTCTGCTTAGCTCTTTAGTCCCCCAGCCGTTGTTTACTGCTGAGTTTCTTAGAGCCTCGCCCTATACAAGCACAGTTCAGGAGTCTGCTAACGATTTGCAAGGAATTTGCACCCAGATTTTTGGGTTCCTTCTCCACAGTTCCTTTCTCTCCAGGACTTTGTCCTTCAAGTTCCAGGCACTGCTAACTCCAAACTCTACCTGGGTTTCTCAGCCTGCTGAGACTACAGCTTCCTGCTAGGGTTGTATTCTTTCGCATTCCACTTTGGAAAATGCCTAACGGAAATAGCCGGGATGAATGTGGAGCTCATTTCACGTGCTTCTCTTCTCAGAAGTGATCGCAGTGTCTTAGAGCCTGTCTATACTGATTGTTCTCACTGCCTATCTATTTCGTTCAGTTTTTATAGATGCTTTTGGCAGGTGGGTTATTCTAAAATAAATGGTTATGGCCAGAACTTATGCCTAGTCATGAAAGTCTCTTGTTCGTTGCTCATTTTCTGATTTCTTTTTTTATATCTTTAAACATTCTATCAATAGTTATTTCAAATCGTGTTTCTAACGAAGCCAAGATCTGATGTTTTTGATGGAATAAATCTGTTTATCATTCCTGCTGACTCTCATTCATGGTGGATGCTTCCTTACATGTTTGGTGATCTTTCATTGTGAGATCACGTTTGGTCTATTTTAACATGGGAGAATCCTGGAAGTTTAAGGCGAAGATGTTTTTTCTAAAGACAATTTGTGTTTGTGTCTGTGCAGAGGCAGGGTGTGCTAGAGATGTGGGACATATCTCCAACTCTTCCTCATTTTATTCTTGCCTGATCTATATTATCTCTGATTTCTTAATATGATGTTTTGTATGAAGCACAAACCAAACGCAATATCCAGGTTTGATTTCGACAGAGCAGCCTACTAAAGAATTATTGCCACCCTTGCTCTGGAAATTCTATGAGTGCTAGCACAGCCTAAAGATATATTACTGCCTTTGGCAAACATGCAAAAGCAAACTGCAATATAAAGATGGAGGAAATGCATAATTATCATAGATGAAAGAACATGAAATTTGATAACTATGTTATCGGCTATGTAAATTACGACATGTAAATCATAGTTCTATTTAATTCTATTTATTCTTTGACACTGTAAAAAAGAGCACAATTAAAAAATAAAGGAGATACAAAAAGCAAAAGAACAATGCTCTGCATCTGGTGAAGAGACTTACAGCTAACACGTCTGGTTGTGCACACCCCTTCTCTCACCCTTTTCATATGATACCTCGACAAAAATGTCATACTGTTGGATCATCAACTTACAGCCTCATTTTTTTTCCACATGATCCACTTGATGTTAAGTTAGGTCCCTCCAACCTACATTTTTGAAGTTGAGTTTTAAACCTAAATGAATCACAATGAAAAATCTAAAGTGGATCAAATTCTTAATATTGAGCCTATTCCCAATCTGAAATGTTTACTTTTTTACGACGACAAGTTAAATGGAGTTAGCCTTCCTGAGTGAATAATTTTAACAGCTGACAAGCCTAGGTGAAAGGCTATAAATACCTGAGCAGTAGTTAAAACTGAGATTGAAAATGAGGGAGATTTTTTAAAAATTTCTCTAATAAAAAGCAAATTCAAGAGCAATAACTTTGGAAATAACCTGACAGACCTAACTGATAAGAGCACAGAACCAGCATATTCAGTAGTATATCTTAATGTCAGTCTCTTTTCACTCATTCAACTAATGAAAAGGTATTTTTCTAACCCCTCAATTAATCAGCTATATCTGGTTCACATTCTTCACGGGAAATAACTCTAATAGTTTCTGCTGGATCTCACTAATTTTCATTGCTGTTTATTCCAAAAATACACGTCTAAAACAACAAAAAGAAAAATACCAGGCACTGGAAATATATTTTATAGACCAAAATAATATGGTGGGAAAAATCATTTTCAGGTAAATAAGTCTTTAAACAAAGAATCTTCCCAATTTATTTTTTGTGATATGTTTAATCTTAAAAATCTGAGCTCTTGACAATGCCTTTAAAAACCTGAAACCATTGATACTGGCAATATAGTTTCAGATTTTTTAAAAGTTGAAAATACATTCAGAAAATAAAAGTTCTTTTATGCCCCCTAACGCCATACATTTTAAGAGAGACTACAACTTTTATTGCAAAAGTAATAGTCATAAGGAAAAAATTTTAAGCAGTGAAAGTACAAAAATTTATATATATTCCCAATATTTAAACCCAACCACTATTATTAACATCTTAGTGTTTTTCTTTTTGATCTTTGCTTTTTCCCTATGCATAAACTTATTTGTAATATAGTTTAATCATATTGCACATATAATTTTGATTCCTTTTCCTTGACTTAACCTTAGATCATAAAATAAATTCCACTGTTCGAGGAACTTGGATAAGTTAATGTAGCCACTGATAGTTATCTGTGCTTTACGCTCTACAGTTTAAAGACTGTTTTTAGAGAAAACATATGAAACTAAGAGTCATATACTTGTGATTTCTTTATCATTTGTCCATTGCACAGTTCCGTTAATCAACTAACAAATACCACACAAAAGGTTTACTCTTCAAAGTAATTTTACTTCTCACCTTTTGAGCTGCAAGATGGAGGGCTGTTCTCTGGCTATGGTCAGTTTTATTAACATCTGCTCCTGCCTTCAAGAGTGCATCTGCACAATCCAGTCTGTCAGCCAACACACAATACATAAGTGGTGTTCTTCCAAATTGATCTTCTTTGTCTTTAAGGGAAGAGTTTCCTATGTGTATAAGAAACAGATAGCAACATTTGACAATTATTGTTGTTATTACTAATATAACTAGGAGCTACGTTTACTTAGTGTTTATTACCAAGTACAGTGCTAAATGCATTAAATATATTATCTCATTTTTACTTACACAATGAGGTAGATATTTACCACCCCCATATTATATGAAACTGAGATTCAGAGAAGTTAAGTAACCAGTTTACATTCACACTGAAAGTAGATGGTGGAGCTAGAATTCAAACTGATTGTTGACTCTAAAGGCCATATTCTTAACTATACGTTATGCTGAATTAACATTTTGAGATATGGAGCTGCTGATTTTCCTCCCTCACTCCTTTCTTTTGTCAACAAATACTTAATTAGTACAGACCATACACTAGGCATTGGGGTATGTTTTTATGAGAGATACAAAAATGAATCATGGTTGGCTTCCTATTTTAGACAATATGCATACTACCCTGATCCTCCTGCTAATTACAACTAAAAATCCAGGCAAAATACATGAAAAGTGGAGAAAAGAAGGCAGACTGGATAAGGGCTATGCAACTCAGGGAACAACCTGATGGTAAGTTTTCTGAAAAAAAAAAAAATTTTTTTTGCCTTGTATATAGAGCTAGCCTGGATGCTAAAGTAGCCTGCAACCAGAGACACCAATGGGCACAGACACAAAATTCCCCAAAGAGGCCTGCTCTCTCCAGTCAAAAGACTGGGAAGAGGGTAGCCCTGCAGGAGTTAACCCTTTTGACTACACCTGCTCTACTCCAAGCACACACAACAAAAGAAACTGCACTCTCTTCCTCACCATTGGGCACTGCAGAGACTGTAGGGGAGGAGCCCTATGAACCATCATGCCCTGAATTAAGCAAAGGATTGCAACATCTTACCCATTCCTAACTAGACAGTGGGGGAGGATTATGGAGAGGAGGAAGCTAGAGAAAGCAATTCTTTAAATTGGTGCATGAAATCATGGACAACTCTGGGCAGTCCATGTGTGAAATTGACCAGAATCAAAATAGCAAAAGGTTTGAGAATTGAACTATGGGTAGAATACTACCCAGGTTCTAAATTGGCCTGGGTAGCACAGAAATGGGGCAGACCAGAGGAGCCCTGCACGAGCTCTGAAAACTAACTTGACATTTGAATCATTGTCCACAAAACTGGAAAAAATGTTCATTCTAAACTTAGATTGTCAGTCTACTAAAATAAGAGATTTAAATAGAATCCAGAGTCTTATAACATAATATACAAAATGTCCAAGAGATAATCCAAAATTACTAGACAAACCAAGAGTCAGTAAAGTATTAAACAAGAAAAGACCATCAACAGGCACAAACACTGTGATAATACAGACATCAGAATTATCTGACAAGGATTTTAAATCAATTATTATAAAAATGCTCTGACAAGTAATTATGAACACTCTCAAAACAAATGGAAAAATACAAAGTCTTAAGTAAAGAAAGAGAAAATATAAAGATGAACCAAATGAAAATTTTAGAATAATAAACACTTAATAAATAAGTAAACAACTGAATAAAATAACCAAAATTAAAACCTCACTGAATAAGCTCAAAAGCAGAATGGAGATGACAAAGGAAAGAATCATGGAACTTGATGACAGACCAATAGAAATCATTCATTCTGAACTGAGAGAAAAGAGAGAAACAAAAAGAATCAACACAGTCTCATGGCTCTGTGGGACAATAACAAAGGATCTACCACTCACATCACCAGAGTCCCAGAAAGAGAGGAAAAAGAATGAAGGGCTGAAAACATATTTGAAGGAATAATGGCTGGAAATGGCCCAAATTTGGTGAAAAACACAAACCTACAGATTTAAGAAGCTGACCAAAGCTCAAGCAGAATAAACCCAAAGAAATCCATGCTGAGTCAATCACAATCAAATTTCTGAAAACTAAAGAAAAAGAAAAAAATCATGAAAGCTGCCAGAGAGAAACAACACATTATCTATTTTATATATATATATATAAAACAATTCAAATGACAGTGTATTTCACATAAGAAACTATGGATGGCAGAAGGTAATGACACATTTTTCAAGTGTTGGGGTTGGGGGGAGGAGAACTGTCAACCTAAAATTCTATATCCAATGCTTGCCTAGGGCTGGGGAGTGTTTGAGGGGACATAGCTAAAAGGAATAGGGTTTCTTTGTGGGGTAATGCAATTATTCTAAAATCAACTGTGGTGATGTTTACACAACTCTCGTGAATACACAAAAACCATTGACTTGTACACTTTAAATTGGTGAATTATATGGTATACATATGGTGAATCTTAACAAAACTGTTACCAAAAGTCCCACTACATATAAATTAAAATGAAACACTAAAAACATTCAGGAAATGCAGAGAAAGATAGGAAAGGGAAAAAAGAGGAATGAAAAACAGAGGGAACAAAGAGTAAACACATAATAAATTGGAAATCTTAAATCCTAACATCAATAGTTACATTAAAGGTAAATGTTATAAACACACCAATAAAAAGACAAAGATGGATTAAAAAAAGAGGACCCAACTATATGCTGTTTATTAAAAACTCACTTGGAATATAATGATATAAGTAGATTAACAGTAAAAGAATGAGCACAAATATACCATATACTTTTGATTGGTAAACGCTAATCAAAAGAAAGCTAGAGTGACTATATTAATATCTGATAAACTAGACTTCAGAGCAAAGACAATTACTGGGGACAAATAGAAACATTACATAATGATAAACAGGTCAGTTCACCAAGAATACATGACAATCCTAAATGTGTATGTACCAAACCACAGAACTTAAAAATACATGTAGCAAAAACTGATAGAATTAAAAGAAACACTTGAAAATTTCACAATTATAGCTGGTAACTTAAACACCCCTCTCTCAATAATTGCTTGAACTACTAGAATAAAAATCAGCAAGGATAGAGAAGAACTGAATACAACCATAAAGCAGCAGGATATAGATGACATTTATTGACTACGTCACCCAATGACAGTCAGATACATAGTCTTTTAAAACAGCCATGGGATATTCACCAAAATAGACCATACATTGAGTCATAATACAAACGTTAATGGATTTACAGAAGTGAAGTCATACACAGTATGTTCTCTGACAATATGTAATTAAACTGGAAATCAGTAACAGAAAGATATTGGAAAATCACTAAATATTTGGGAATTAAACAATACATAAATAATCCATGGTTTAAAGAGAAAATCTCAAGGGAAATTAAAAATCATAATTAAATGAATGAAAATAAAAATACTGTTCTAAGGTTCCTACCCTACACATGAGGGGGACTTAGAAGAAAATATACAGCATTGAATACGTGTATTAGAATAGAAGAATAGTTTCAAATCAATGATCTATACTTTCAACCTTAGGACACTAAAAAAAGAAGAGCAAATTTAACCCAAAACAAGCAGAGGAAGTACATAACAAAGATAAGAGCAGAGATCAATGAAATTAAAATCAGAAAAACACTAGGGAAAAATCAATAAAGCTAAAAGTTGGTTCTTGGAAAATATCAATAAAATTGATAAGTCTCTGATCAGATTGATCATTAAAAACAGAGGAGATAGAAATTTCCAGTATCAGGAATGCAAATGGGGACATCACTACAGAGCCTGCAGACATTAAAAGAAAAATAAAGGGGCCAGCCCCGTGGCTTAGCACTTAAGTGCGCCCGCTCTGCTGCTGGCGGCCTGGGTTCGGATCCCAGGCGCGCACCGACGCACCGCTTCTCCAGCCATGCTGAGCCCGTGTCCCACATACAGCAACTAGAAGGCTGTGCAGCTATGAAATACAACTATCTACGGGGGCTTTGGGGGAAAAATAAATAAATAAATAAAATTATAAAAAAAAGAAGAAGAAAAAGAAGGGAATATTATAAATAATTTTATGCCCATAAATTCACAATTTAAGTTAAATGGCAAAAAATAGACACATAGTTCAACAGAACAGAATCGAGAGTACAGAAATAGACCCATATATATGATCAGTTGATTTTTGACACAAGTGCAAAGGCAAACCAACAGATAATCTCTCAAACAAATGGTGCTGGAAAACTTGGACATCTATATGCAAAACCAAAAACCAAATAAACCAAAAATTTACAACCTATACTTTTCACCATACACAAAAGTCAATCAAAAACTTAAATGTGAAAACCTCTATAACTATATAAAACTTTTAAAGCAAACAAACATGAAAATCTCTGTAACATTGCTTTAGGCAAAGATTTCTTAAATATGATACCAGAGAACAATCCATAAAAAAATTGATAAATTGGATTTCATCCAAATTAAAAACTCTATTTGAAAGACACTAAGAAAAAAAAAAGACAAGCCACAAAATGAGAGAAAATATTTGCAAAACACATATCTTTTTTTAATTTTATATATATATATATTTTTTATTATATATATTTTTTATTGCGGTAACACTGGTTTATAACATTGTATAAATTTCAGGTGTACATCATTGTACTTCTATTTCTGCATAGATTACATCATGTTCTCATGTTCACCACCCAAATACTAATTACAATCTATCACCACACGCATGTGCCTTATCATCCCTTTCGCCCTCCTCCCTCCCCTTGTCCCCTCTGGTAACCACCAACCCAATCTCTGTCTCTATGTGTTTGTTTGTTGTTGTTTTTATCTTCTACTTATGAGTGAGATCATACGGTATTTGACCTTCTCTCTCTGACTTATTTCACTTTGCATAATACCCTCAATGTCCATCCATGTTGTCACGAATGGCTGGATTTCATCGTTTCTTATGGCTGAGTAGTATTCCATCGTGCATATACACCACATCTTCTTTATCCATTCGTCCCTTGATGGGCACTTAGGTTGCCTCCAAGTCTTGGCTATTGTGAATAATGCTGCAATGAACACAGGGGTGCATGTATCTTTATGCATTGGTATTTTCATGTTCTTTGGATAAATATCAAGTAGTGGAATAGCTGGATC